GGCAGGCTTGCAGGGTATACCCTTTGGTTGATTGATAACGCATGGAGGGGATTATAACTATGGCAATGAAACAATATACGATAGGATGAATATAAAGCTAACGTTCTCTCATGTAAACTATAACATAATTCACAATGAAACATTTTTTTAAAAACAGATTATATATTCCTGAGTGTTTTTGTGTATATCCTCCCTACTCCACACCAAAAAAACACCCAAAACAAAACCAGACGGAATAGAAGCAAATACTGTTGAATAGGTGATGCATGGAAGGGATTGTAGTCATTGCAATGAAATGATGAGTGTAAAACCAATGTTCTCCCATGTAAAGTATCACTCAATTCACAATAAAAACTTAAAAAAAAAACAAGCAGAAAAATTTACAGTAGCTCTCAAGTCTTGAAAAGTATCCTCTATTCTCTAAGACCACGTATTTGGGGCAAATTTGACTCACAGCGTTCTAGTTTGTAACGTTTGGACTCTACTGGTCAGACGTCCCTATGTCTGAAAACATCTCCGATGTCAGCAGTCCCCATAGCTTCGCAGGAGTCTTCACAGGGAGGAGCTGAGCTTTACTTGATTTTTTTCTGGTTTTAATTCCAGAGCCTAGTGCAGTGCCTGGCCCACTGTGGTGTGGTGGTGGTAAGTGCTATCGAGTCGGTTTCAACTCATAACTACGCTATAGAGATAGGGTTTCTGAGGAGTGGCCGGGGGGTTTGAACTGCCAACCAGTCCAGTGCCTATCCCACAGCACAGTGTCAGGGACTGCACTGTGTTAGTGTTGTTGTTGTGAAGTGCCGTTGTGTTGGTTCTCATCCACAGCTACCCTGTATAGGGTTTCCGAGGAGCTGCTGATGAGCTTGAACCACCGACCTTGCAGTTCAAATGGAATTTGCAGTCTGACACATTAACCCACAGCGCCACACCAGGACTCCAGGGACTACACCGTGGGAGCCACCAAATGCTTGTTAAATGAATGGATGATTTCGTTCACAGGATGGAGTCAATCATCCCTTCACTCACTAGCCACAACTGGCTTGCCCCACTCTTCACTCACTGTAATTTGTCTGTATTTATGGGGGATGATCCTGAGAACCCACCCACCTCTCCTCTGTATTTGAGAGAGTCTGAAAACCACACACCACACCCCAGGCTCCCTTACAGCTCAGGCTCTGGGTACAACTAGCTTCGTAGGCGGCAGAGTGAGGTCAAGATAGTGGGGTCCCGTGTGGCTGAGTCTGTGGTAGGCACCGTCGTGGAGGCAGGGGCATGGTCAGGGCCCTTGTTCGTCATGTGGATCTGTTGGGCCCGGGAGGACCCTGAGGCCTACAGCTTCTAATACCTAGATTATAGCTCAGGGATGTGTCCCTGGTCCTGATCCCCTGCCCTCCCAACTGTGTCCAGGGGAGTAACTTTCCTGGCCAGCCAGTACTAGGAAGCTTCCTGGCTCCCAGCTCAGCACCCACCCCTCATGCCAACCCAAATGATTGTAAAAGCACTAGCTTTCCTGTCTTAAATTCCTTTCTGCTCTGGACACAGACTGACCCATGACGGTAGTGCAGAAGGGCAGCTAAGGCTCTAATGGCATCAGGAAGCCGGGAAATTAGTAATGATTAGGTCCTGTGAAGTGTGGGGCTACAAGGAGAGGCAGGAGGGATGCTGATTAATCTTAAGCCAATTCTTATAAACTGTGCAGACTCTGGGGCCAGCCATTAAGTCACAGCCTAAGACACAAACATGGCCCTGATAACAGAAGGCATTCAAAGCCACAGGAAGGACAGTCTGGAGCAGGGAAAGGCCTCATTAAAGAGAAATTAGTATTCACTGCTAACCAAAAAGGGTGGCCTCCAGACTGCAGTCCTGTTCCTCTGTCCCAGAGGACGTGGTGGGAGTTAGTTGGCATAACCATTGTCCCCATCTCATCTCAGACCTACAAATGTCCCTTTGGGATGTGGAAATAGCAGTGGCAATGCATAGACTCATGTGCCCATGGTTCAGAGCCCAACCCTTAGTTGCTACGTGACCCTGAGCAAGTTGCCTTACCTCTCTGGGCCTCTAGTTTTTCAGCAGCACAATGAGGACACTTATTGTCCTACAGGCTGACCGCAAAGCTGGACCAATGAAGTATATGAAAGTATGGCAGAGACCGACACAGTCAGTACATGTGTAATCCAGCGGCGCCGCCAGACCTTGGTGAAGCAAGTGCTTAAACCCGCCTCACACCTCTTGGCAAAATCATAGGGGGCAGGGCCCTGGGCCGCCAGATTTTAAATGCTCCGAGGTGGTCAGATGTGGGGCAAGAACCTAGAGGCAACAATTCTGGGCCTGAGTCTTAATTCTGCCATTTCTTAGCTCTTGAACTTGGAAAGCTCACTTGACTTTTCTGAGCATCTTGTTTCCTCAGTCCCTTAAAGGAAGGACAGCACCGGTATGTGTCCTGTGGGTCTGCTGTCAGGCCAAAGAGTGGTGACACCAGAGGGCTCAGCCCATACCTGGCCCCTACTAGGCCCTCAAAATGTAAGCTGCCAACCTCACAACATCAGCAGCAACCCAAACTGGTGACTCAGCACTCTGGGGCAGGACACTGTCTTTGCCAACAGCATCCTGGCATCTAAGACAATGGCAGGCATACAGTAGGTGCTCCATAAACAACTGAGTCATCATGATAGAACCATGGTCTGTCTGGCTGCTCCATGCCGCACCCAGAGGGAGGGCCGGGCAAAGACTCACACACACAGGATGGCCAGACCCGCCTGCTGCCCACAGGGATTTTAAACATTCTCATTATGTTTCTTTCACACCCTGGTTCTGCCCTGACCTTCCTGACCTGGTGCCATCCGCGGCGCTGGACTTTGCTGGGGGCCGTCCTGGAGCCACGTCTTAAGGCTTCTTCAGCTTCTTTAAACAGGGCCCTTCGTCCATAATCTGCACCAGAGACAAGGGAAGGAGACAAGTCACAATGATGGATAATTTTATAACGTGCATCTAAAACACATGTTAGTGAGGCCCATGGCTGTGCCTGATCATGCTCAGTGCAGCAGCAAGACATTAGAAAACAAGCCAGATGCCCAGCAAAACTGGATGGTTTACTAAATTACAGCACACCCATGCCATGGAACAAGACGTACGATGATGTATGGATAAATCGGGCACATCTACATATATAAGGAATGACCTCCAAAATATGCAAGTAAGGTATACAACAGTGTTACCATTTGTATAAAGAGGGGAAAAGCAGTGAGTAGATATGTTTGTTAAATGACTGAGTGAATGTACTGAAGTGGCCCAGGAAAGGCCCGATTCTCCTAACTAGCAGCAGGTTAGCCCAGCTTCTTCCACTGGGAAAGCTAAGAGAGCCAACTGGTTTCCCTCTTTGCCCTGGGGACTAGGAAGCTCACACTAATTCCAAGCTTCACTTGCCGTTGGTTCTCTTCTTAGGGGAAGGTTTTGGGATATCACTTTTTCCTTTTATCCTCTTGCTGGTGTTATGTTGTTTGTTTGTCTTTTACTATGTGTGCGTGAATTCATGGCTTGGGATTTTGTGGTACCTGTGAGGCAACGAATTACATCAACACAAATCAAGATTAGTGCTGTACCAGGCACACTACATTTCTTATGTCATTTGGCAGGCCCATTTTATAGAAGAAAAAACTGAGAGTCAGAGGGATTCCAATTGCTTGAGGTCTCAAAGTGGAAAATGACAGAACAGGGTTCAAACCTAGCTCTACCACATTCTAAATCTGTTCCTTCTCAGACACACTGGCCTCCCACAGGGTCTTCCCCACAGTAACCTGTCCAAGCTGGAAGCAAACTTCAAGTCCTTGCCATCTCATGCATTCAACCACCAATCGTTTTTGGTGCCTACATTGGCCCAGACACCGGGCTAGGTTATTTTCTATTATACTTCACCAGTGCTCTGTGCTTCTGTCATATTGTTGTTGTTGTTAAGTGCCATCGAGTCGGTTCCGACCCATAGCGACCCTGTACAGAGTTTCCAAGGAGCAGCTGGTGAGCTTGAACCGGCGACCTTGTGGTTCAAACAGACTTTGCAGTCCAGCGCATTAGCCCACAGTGCCACACCTGGCTTTTGTCAAAGATCACACAAAATCTGTTTAAAGTATTCATGGTCTGGCTTAACTAAATACAGAAATGAGCATGAAGCCAGCTGCCACACAGGGGTTAGGTCCTAAAGCTGACACATAGAAAGGGAAAATCAGATCAATTACTGGCACTTGAAATGTAGGAAATGTACAAGCCAGGCCCTTACTGTCCTAGCCATCCCTGCCCTGTGGTAGTACTGGAGGTCAAGTCTCCTTGAAGGATCTGGAAACAGGATTTTCCTCTTTTTCTGGCCAGGCAGATGTTACGCTCAGACTCTTGTGATCTACGGCATTTCCACTGGATGATTTTTGGTCTTTCTTCCTTGTCAGTCTTAATCTGGAAGCGTCCCTGAAGCCTGTTCAGCATCCTAGCAACACTCAAGTGTATGGTGAACTTACATGCGTTATCAGTGGACACTCACCGTGAGTCTCCTCCGCATGTGAGGCACTCCTGGAGAAGTCAGAGTGGATGGCTTTGCGTGGCGACGTCTTCAGCTCAGAATTGGCCCCGTTGACGTACACAGAGAAGCCCTGCTCCAAGTGTTCCAGCCTCAACTGCACAGGGTCCTTGCTTTTCAAATGCTTTAATATCCTGGAAGAGAAAAGAATGCTTTGCTTGCTCCTCATCACAGGAGAGTCCGGGTAGCTGGCACAGCACTCAATCACCTGCCACCCCAATGGGTCCAGCTGTGCATCTACAAAAAACCTCTTGGAGCTGGGGTTGCAGCCCATGTTAGCAGACGTGCACACACATGTGCTTGCCCTGCCACACAGCCTGGGTTTTCTGAGATGACCCCAATATCATGTGACTCCTTTGTGGGGATGAAAAACAAGCCCACTGCCCACAAGCTGACCCTATTAATAGTCAGCGTTGCCCTGACTATAAATCTTTAGCAGAGCAGACAGTCTCATTTTCCTCCCACGGAGCCACTGGTGGGTTTGAATCGCAGACCTGGAGAGATTAGCAGTCCAAATGACAAAGAGGCACTTCATTCAAAACATGGTCTAGAGTCTACATCTTTGTGAGAGAGATTTCATGTAAACATCTACAAGTCAGAAAACAACATTTGGCAAACCAGGCTCATGGATTTTTGTGTCAGAAAAGAAGTACAAGTAATCTCCTCAAACACTCAAGTTGGATCTCAAAGGACAAACTTTTTTATTCTGATGCAGTTTAAAAATAGGATGGGGGCTTCAAAAGTTCACAGAAAAATTCCATTATCTTCCCATTCCGTTTTTCCATGAACTATTGGAAGACCTCTTGTACACCAAGGTTTAAGATGACGCTGTGATGATCCTTGCCCTTGGGCTGAAAGGGACCTGGTGTGAGCGTGGCTTGGTCTCTTGCTCTGAATTCATGGACGCCTCCCCCTCATGCCTCCATCTTGGGTCAACCCCCTCCTGACACAGCACTGCCATGCACAGAGCCCCGCGGTCTCTACAGCCCACTCTAGAACTGCCTCCAATTGACATCTAATCCCTCAGTCTCCTGCAGACCCCCTTATGCACCCCCACTTCCTCTGGGTTTTCAACCACATGAGAAAACACAACAAGCAACATTGGGACATGTAATTAAACACTGACCACATCACAAAATTTTAATAATTTAAAAACTGGTAAGTGCCATCGAGCCAGTTCTGACTCATAGTGATTCTTGTATAGGGTTTCCAAGGAGCAGCTGGTGGGTTTGAACTGCCGACCCTGTGGTTCACAGTCTAATGCTGATCGTACAAGCAGTAGTCATCTCATGAAGGTGCAGTTCAAGCCCACCAGCTGCACCACAGAAGAAAGATGAGGCTCTCTGCTCCTGCAAAGATTTACAGCCTCAGAAACCCTATATAAGGTCTTGAAGAGTCTAAGATGGCACTTAATGCCAAGACAATGTGCCAAACTCTCCTCTAACTACACAGATTAAGAGCGCAATCTTCACTGTCCTGTGAGGTAATTACATTTCTTATCCTCATTTAAAAGATGGGGAAACTAAAGCACAGAGAGGTTAAGTGACTTGTAGCAGGTCCAGGGAGTCTGACCTAAGTTTTCAGTACACTATACAGGACATAATTTGTAAAGTTAGCAAGATGATGTCGGCACAGTAACCTCAGACATTGCTGGGACTCACACAGCGTCTTCTCAGAAGGAACATGAAAATACAGAAAATGCCACCTGCTTGGTCTCTGCCCAGTAAAAACATTCTGGCAAACTGCTCCTGAACACAAACTCGAGGCAAGAAGATGTTCAGCCTTCAGCTATGGCAAAACTTTAAAGTACCCGAAATATCCAATACTGGGGAAGCGGATGCTGAAATAGCATGCAGCTGTCATCAGTGTGAAGATTCTCTCAAAACTTGGAGGGAGAGAGGTCAGGCTGAATAAAAACAGTACAGACCAAAAACCTGATGGCGGCCGGGGAAGACACGGAGGAGTGCAAGTGTTACAGGCAACAGAATCTAGAGCTGCATAGTCCTGCAGTAACAGTGGTCTCTGAGCAGGTGCACCCAGAGACAACCAGGCTGAACAGGTCTGGGAGGGAGAGCGGGAGTCTACCCACCAATATATGTAGGTTTGGGTATTTACCTTTGCTGCAACTCTGAATGTCATAGAGCATACAGGAAGCAAAGTTGTGAAACGTCTTATACATAACAAAACCTCCCGAGGGGACAAGTCATGAGGCCTGGGGGCTCAGGGGACAGACACCAACTGGCATAATATGGTCCACAAAGACAATGTTGTGCATCCTACTTCAGTGAATAGCGACTGCAGTCTTAAAAGCATGAGAATGACCATCTAAGATACAACTATTGGTCTCTCCTTGTCTGGAGGACAGAAGAGTGATGAGAACGAAAGACATGTGGACCACATGAACATCAGTCTCCACGACCCCTGGACCAGAAGAACTAGATCTGCCTGGCTACCACTACCAACTGCTTGGAAAGTGATTACTCCCACTGGGTTTTTGTTACTCTTAAGTACTGTCGAATCGGTTCCCACTCACAGCATATCTATGGATAGAGTGGGAGAAAAATGTGGGACAAACTGAAAATCAAAACAAACAAACAAACAAACAAAAAACTATTGTTACTGGTGAGAGACTGCAATGTTCACAACAAGACTATGGCCCTTGATCACCCTTCAGGTCTGGAACTGAACTCACCCCATGGCTCAATTTTCAGCCAAACAATGTTGTTAAGTGTCATCAAGTTGGTTCTGACTCATAGCAACCCTGAATAGAATTTCTGAGGTGCCACTCGTGGGTTTGAACTATTGACCTTGCAGTTAGCAGTCCAGTGCACATCCTACAGTATCACACCAGGACTCCAGGGGAACAAGAATACTATGGAGATACACAAATCTTAGATTAATAAAACGGGCAAGGTTTGGAGGTTTAGGATAGGAGGAGGAATGAAAAAGAGGAAACAGTGGGAGGGAGGAAGTGGGATAAGTGATGTAACATTGTGGGGATTACAATCAATGAAATGAAACAAAATGTGTCTGAAATGTTGACTGGGAAACAGATAATAATACAAATTGCCTGAGCTGGAACTTGAAATTCTGACTTGGTTGATCAAAGATATCTGAATTTTTACTACCCTCCTGCCCCCTCTGAAGAAGTCCTGACCGTAGGGAGTAATGAGTTGGGCTGTTAACAATGTCAGCAGTTCGAGTCCACCAGCTACTATGTGGAGAACTATGAGACTTTCGGCTCCTGTAAAGCTTTACAGCCTTGAAACCCTCTACGGGGGCCAATGGAAGTCCGAACCCAGTGGACAGCATACAGCCAGTTCCCTCCAATTAGATTCTGAAACTAGCTAGCTTAATTGGAGAAGTCCTGCTCAATAAAGTTGCTCTCAAAAGAAAAAAAAAAAGTACATTATACGGTCAATGAGAAGTTGAAAAAAAAAAGTGGTGTGGACCCAGAGTGAATGTAGTAAATGTAAAAATTAAGTCAGTTGTTGCGTTAGGGTGGTGGCATGGTGGGGTCATTTCTCTGTTTAGTTTTTTAAATGTTTCTTTAGCTGCTGATACATCCGTCTTTTCAACAGTTGTGGCAGGAACATTTATTACACACTGCTTATCTCTTGCCAGCCTCTGGGGCCTGGGAGATACCTGATTGCTGAGCAACAGAAGGAAACAGAAGGAAAACACAAGTAACTAAGAGACAATCTCCAAACAGGGCAATGGCAGCACTTGCTGAAGCAAACAATCAAGAATGTTGTGGGCATCCACAGTCTCCCAAGGGGGCGGGGAGAACAGGGCTGGGAGGTCAGGGTGGAAGTCAGGCACCTCATCCCCCCAGGCAGAGTAACTGGCTCAACTTCCCTCCCAGAGACCACCCTGGGTCCTGATGCTATATTCGTGGTTACAGCATCCAGAGCCTGGGGCTGGCATGCCACATGGGCCTCTCTTTACACAGAATCACTTATGAAAATGTGGATTGATGAAACTGACAAATGAGGAGATAATTATTCAAACTGTGAAAGGAGCTGAGCACGCATCAGTAACATTCATGTGGCATCAAAGAAAGTGCTGGGGTTTTTAATTGATAGTCTATTTTGCATAAAAAGCCACACTTCAGTCTCTTGCCCTGCTTAATTTTCTCATAGTGCCTGTATTGCTGCCTGCGATCAGACTGTGAATTTGCATGTATATTTGTTTCTTCTCCCTCCTGGATCCCCTTTTTAAACAAGTGGCCTCCAGGAGCTTGAGGCCTAGCGGGTGAGGAGGGCACGGATGCCAATCTTAACACTCTCGGCCGCAGCCATCGGACGCGTGCGTACCACACGCATCGTTTCCATTTTGTCCCTATGGTGGCCTCTGGGGAAACTGCTGAGCTCTTGTGCATGGACAGGACACAGGAAAGTGAGGGGAAAGGCAAGGAGTGTCATAAAGGAATATAACAGGGACACCACACTCCTCTGGGGCACTGAAGCAGGGACACAGGGACAGGGGAGTGAGGAGGGCAGAGCTGAACACATAGGGCAGATGTGGACCGCTGCTGGGGCACGGGCCTAAGTGTGACTGGGCTTTTGGCAGACTGATTGTTGGTCTCTGCACAGTGTGGTTGCAGCTGTGTGACTCAGGACCAGCCACATGGCTCCTCTAAACCTGTTTTCCCATGTCTCAATGGAGGGGGTTCTATAAGGAACAGACATTCAGAGATTATCTGGATGTCAGCTTAGGGGAAAAACATTTTCAATATTGAAATAATTCTCATCTAAACCTTCAAGTAGCCTCAATTCCAGTTCCTGGGGCTCCAGATCCTGCATGCTTACTAACCACTCCTCCCATCTGTCTCCAACACCAAACTCACTCCCCAGGTTTGGAGTAAGGAGTGCTCAGAGGAAGGGGCAGCCCTGAAGGAGAGAGAGGCAGCAGGCAGTGATGGCACAGGGTGGCCCACAGGGCCTGGCATTTGTTCTCTTAGGTGTCACCTTAGCAGAGCAGAGATCTCAATGCCCATTCATGTCTTGAGTGGTATGGGGAGGACGTGCTTCATTTCCGCTTCAGTTCCAGAGATGCTGCTGCTGCAGTTTTCCCAGTTTCATGCCAGTAACTGTCCCTTTAACCCACGGCTTAGCTCGGGCGGTTGTAGTGAGGATGAGTCAGGGTGAAGATGGAAGCTCACTCTAGCCTGTCTGAGGACCCCAGTGGCTGCTGCTTCTGCTCTCAGCCTGGCTCTCTTCTCGGAGCACTGGGTTCACTCTTTCATGGGCATGTTTCCCTCAAGCGACCTTTTTCAAGGAACACATGATAACACCATCACTGGATTCTTGGTGAGCAAATCTGTGTTCACCCTCCACAATTCAATTCTCTGCTGTCATGTCTTCAGATAAAAGGGCCCTAATCTTTTCCGTCGTTTCTCACATCTCAGTCCTTCGATCATTCAGGTTGCTCTTTGGTGAGCCTCGTTGGGTGTGATTACATCTCTCCTGAAGTTAAGTGACCAAAATCACTAAGAATCTGCTTGAAGAGACATCATGATGCGTTTGTGCAGAGGGGAAACTAGACTGTCAGGCTTCCAGCGTCTTCTCACCGACAATTCATCCGAAGCAGACGAATCCTTCCAACCTTTTGACACAGTTGCAGGTGGTTCTGAGCTCACCCCACATTCTTATAGCAGTGTCTGCTATTACACCAGCACAAAGAGATAAGTAACACACAGTCTGTTTACTTAATGCTTGTTTGGTTGTAAGGGACAGAACCAAACAGATACGGTGGATAACTGTTCTTTCTGCCTGCCCAGCAAATCGCCCTCATCTTTTCCCGCAGGTTTCCTTTGAGAAACTGTTCCTCTCTTATTATGTGTGGTCTGTGTGGATCGGACGCTGACTCTCCAGGGCTGGCAAGGGTGGTCAGTCAAGACTCTGCCACCTCACCCGTCACAGTGGTTGACTGGTTCAGGGATGGAAGCCTCCTCAGCAAGTCTGTTGGGTTGTTCTCTTTGGGGTAGGATGTTAAGTGCGGGGCTTCCAGTGGCTGTCTTGCCCACCATAAAGGAATCTGTCTGACAATGAATTGAACATGGGAAAACAGAGCTGAGAGTTGAAGAAGGACTGGTTTAGGGGGCATGTCATCTAGATCCAGCTATGCCTGAAGCCACTACCACCCTCCCTGGATCTCTTAAAGACATGAGTCAGTAAGTTTCCTGGTTATGTAAGCCCTAGGACTTCTGTCCCTTACAACCAAACAAGTATTAAGTGAACAGACCGTGTGTTACTTATCTCTATGTGCTGGTGTAATGTCAGACACTCAGTGAAATGCTGCTCAATGAATCAAAGAATGTCACTCAGCATCTTTTAGGTGGCTCTCTCCTAGGAACTCACCCAAAGTTGGGGTTTTGTCTCCTGTGGTACCCACTGTAAAGCTCCATTTAGGGTTTTCTACCTACTTGTGCAGCTAGGTTTCCACGTAAACTGTGAATTACTCCCACAAAACCCCTCTCTAGTGAACTGAAGGCCACTGGTAACCCTGGCCGGTTTTTTTTCCTCTTGAAAGCTGATGACAGTGTCCAATAAAATGCAAACAAAGAGCAGCCCAGCTCTACCACTTCCTGGCTGCATGAATTCAGGCTCATCACCTCTTAGAGTAAGGGTAAGTACCCAACTACTCACCAAAAGGCTGACAGACAGGTAGAACACATCCAGAGGCACCTAGGAAGACAAGCCTGGCAATCCGCTTCTGAAAGACCACAGCCTTGAAACCTCTAAGGACCACATGGGGTCACCATGAGTCAAATGAAACTCTATGGCACCATGGGTGGTACCATCTCCTCAGCAGGCTCTAGAGGTGTAGATGGGTGGTGGTGTAGTCAGAGAGACAGAGTTATAGTGAAATTTCCAAGGGGGTGGTGGGCAGGGATACAAAACACCAGTAAACACCACTGGGGCTCAGTGAAATGGGTGTAGAACTTTGTGTACTATGCAGATCAAATTAAATAATGGAGAGAGGCACCGAACATCCAGCTGGCCCTCAGGAAAAAGCACCTTTAAGGTTCAGAGGCACGCACACTCTTGGTGGGTCTCTATTCCAAGATGTTTCTTTTCCATTCTGCCTCTCAATTCCCTGTGATCAAGCTGGCTCTCTCTGGGTATCCTCCCAAATTTTATGGCAACTCAGTTTTAATATACAGTTTCCATTGTCTTTGTGCTGAACCTTGTCTCATATCTACTATTGCTCACACACTTACAGATCCCCTGATTCCCCAATGAATGAAACCAATTTGCTCTTATGGAACGATGACAACCCCCTCCCAGGCAAGTCCCATGTAAATAACTACACCATCATCCAACCTGCCAGAGGCTGAATAAACACACGCTGCTCAGAGGCAGTGATGATGACAGAGACTCAGGTTGGGGTAACCAGTACATGCGTTGCGTTTCTGTCATCTGACATCGTCCCCAGGATGACACTGCGACAGAGTACAGAACAGGTGGGCACAAAAGACGTTCCTATGCCATTTCTGGTTGCTCCCAGCGAGCATATCCAGTTCAGAGGTTCTCCCCCAGGGGTGGTTCCAGCTCCCTAGTGGATGCTGTTGTCAGAGAGCCAGGAGTTGAGCGAGGGAGCTGGTGAGCTGGGAAACTAAACTCCTGCACCACACAATATGCCGCGGGTGCCTCTGTGGACAAACACCAGGAGTCTGCCAGTTATCCTGGAAGGGCTGAAGCCCCACATTCTCTTGCTTGGAAGATCTCAAGTCCACTCCCATAGCACAAAGGCAAGGTCTAAATTTGCACCCCACTTCCCAACCCCTCCTGCAGATCTGTTTTGTGGTATCTGAGCATTCTTAGGTTCCTTTTCATTTGAGTTAATTACCAACATTTTGGAGTCCTGGTGGGGCACTGCAGGATAATGCACTGGACCACAAGGTTGGTTTGAACCACATGGCCAGCAGTTCAAACCCTCCAACCGCTCCTTGGAAACCCTAAACAGGGTTGCTATGTGTCAGAACTGACTCGACAGCACTTAACAACTAACAACCACCAACATTTTAAAACTCAGGAGACATTAGAGCACAAATGCAGATTTTCAGTTTCTCTAGAAATCATGGACGATCTGGCCCATGTCCCCATACCACACCCACTGAATACGAGAGGACTAGGCCCCACTGTCCCCACTCAGACAGCTTCACTCACGTTTCACACTTACCTCGCCCCTGCTGGCACCTGAATTCGCAAGCCCAGCTTGATGCAAAGTTTTAGTGAACTGACAGCCCACTCCCTCGGTCTAGCAAACGCAGCCTCCTTCACACATCGGCTGTGCTGCCTTGACCTTGGTCAATAACACTGCATGCACTGCAAACACTTTCAAGAACCAGCACTCCAGAGTCAAAACCCATCCAACTGAACTATAAATGACATGATGACCAACTTCAAAGATGAATGGGAAATGACTCTACCACCGCACAACAAGGCAATGATGACAGGCTCAGATTTCAAAGCCTGGAAGATCACAGCCTGGGATATTCAGGTGATGAATGCACAGACTTTGCCCAATGCTAGCTTTTCACGACAACTCCACTACTCCTGGTACAGAGGTAGGAAGCAAGATGTGGTACTTACACATCCAACAGCTAGCTACAGTCCAATCAAAAGAAGCAATTAAATCAGTGAATGGGGAAACAGAAGTTGGGATTGCAAGTTATGTTCTAAGCCTTTGAGAGAGGAGGGTGACTGCATCCCATTCCTGTCTGAAACAGGATCTGCACACTGCTAATAAACCTAAACAGGGTTTTCATTTGGCTAATATTAAAGGCTGCCGCTGCGCGGCTTCATCTTACCGATTCCTCTGCTGAAGCAATATTAAATACTCATCATGTTTCTCATCAAAGTCTGTCACCATGTCCTTAGTGTAACCCTGAAAGGAAGAAACAGAGCAGTGTAATATTGGAATTCAGGAAAACACGGACTACGAGCCGCCCAGCACAGCCACACAGGTGGCCAAGGGGGAGGCCCACCTTGACGAAGGCCCCACTCCCTGGGCGCATCACCAAGCAACTCAACACTCCTGTGGCTGCCTGCTGGCCCAGTGGGTCTGAACATACACAATTTTAATTATCTTCAGCAGGAGGAGATCGGTTCCCCAGCACTGCCAGTTATTCCTGCTGTACCCTATCACAGGACTGAGGTTCTGCTTTTTCTACACTTACTATTTCAATCGCCATAAGCAAATGCAATCAAGCCAGTTGTTTGCAAGGGAATCTCATGTGTACCTTGTTATCCAGAGAAAAGCACATACAGCCCTGAGAAAGAAGGTCCCTTGGAATGGGCATTTGTTGTTTTGTACCTCCTCTTCTGGTAACATGACTCGGGACTTCCTTTGGACTTCATTCAGCCCCTCATCCAGTTCAATGACTTCTTTAGGTGCCCTTGAAAGTACCATTGTTCTCCTCTTGGGTCACTGACATGGCCTTGCCCATTAACATAATGCCGCTGAATTCAATTCCCAATGAAAAGTTAAAACAAAACAAACATAATGCCATTGTGCTTCACTGACCCAAGCTGGGTCCTGGAAAATCGCCCTGGACCATCTGCTGATACTTTTGGGAAACAGCTGATGGGGTGTAGGTCTAGAAGTACCTGAGAATGAAGTCAGTAGAGAAAAGAGCAGATCCAAGAGCTGGAGAGAGAGAGATTCTTAATGATACCTTTTGAATCCCTGAATCCAGACATGCCTGAAAACATATCTGGACATTTCAGTTATTACTTTAGCAGGTTCCGTTGAGTTTATGTCACTTGAAGCCAAAAGAATTTAAACTAATCAACTATAACCCACAATCACAGATAAACCCTATTATAATGATCTAGGCTGTTGCTGTTGTTAAGTGGCGTTGAGTCAGTTCCGACCCACAGCGACCTTGTATAGGGTTTCCTAAGAGCAGCTAGTGAGTTTGAACTGCCAACCTGCAGTTCAAACACTTTGCAGTCCAGGGCATTAACCCACAGTCCACACCAGGGACTCCTATTATGTTGGCTATGGAGGTATAACTAATGTACAAGAAACTATATATATTTGATGTAACATGAATATACTGGTAAAATCGCTATTATTATTATATATATATTCCTCTGAATTTTTGTTTGTAATATACATATTTATCACACACAGATTATTTTAAGCAAAAATAGGATCATACTATAAATAATGCTATGCAATTTATGTGTTTCTTAACTAACTCTGCCAAGGAATAGTTGAAAGCTACCATATAAACTTGGTACTAGTCACAAGTTGGTGAGTCCTGCTATGATGGTATAGGGTAAGCAACAGGCTGCTAAAACCACAAGGTCAGCGGCTCAAACCTACCACCCCTCTTCAGAAACCCTATTACAGGGTTGCTATGAGTCAGAACTGACTCGACAGCACTTTAACAGCAAACACAGTCACAAGTGGAAGTCCTGATATGGTGCTGTAGGGACAGCACAAGACTGCTCACTGCAAGGTCAGCAGTTCAAACCTACCAGCTGCTCCTCGGAAGCCCTATACAGGATCACTATGAGTCAGAACTGATTCCACGGTACTTCACAACAACAAGTCTAAGTTACAGCGAGTTACAGGAATTCGGTTTTAAATGGCAAGTAGGACATTTATAACAGAAATGCAATTGAAAGCCCTAATTAATGATCATTGTGACAGTTAAGGCTTTGTGTCAACTTGGCTGGGTCTGGATTCTCTGTGGTTTGGCAGTTAAGATGCTGTCATCTCCCATGATGACATCTAATAGAATGTAATCATAATATATGATGGAGGCTGGTATAATTTCCCTATGTGCTGTAAATCCTCACTTCTAGCATGGGCATGAGAGTCCTGGGGTGGCGCTCTAGGATCAGCACTAGACTGCTAACCACAAGGTCGGTGGTTCAAACCCACCAGCTGCTCCTTGGAAACCCTATACAGGGCTGCTATGAGTTGGAACCAGCTCACTGGTACTTAACATCAGCAACAACATGATGCTAATAAGGCCGGATGCAATTTGCAGGACCAGGTTGTGTCTTGAGTCAATCTCTTTTGAGATTTAAAAGACATGAAACAGGGCAAACAGAGCTCAGAGGGACCTACCACCAGACAGAAGAGCCGGGAGTGAAGTGTGCCCTTTAGACCTGGGCTCCCTGCCCTGTGAAGCTCCTGGATCTGGGGGAAGACTGATGCCAAGGCCCAGGGAGAGCTCCAAGGACTGCTGGGCCTGCAGGTGCTGACAGGAGACAAGGACCTTTCCTCAGAGCTGGTGCTCTGAAGTTGGGCTTCTAGTCTCCCAAACTGTGAGAGAATCGATTTCTGTTTGGTGAATTCGTCCATGTGTGGTATTTCTGTTATAGCAGCACTAGATATCTAAGGAGAAGTGAATATCACAGGAGAAGTGAATGAAAAGACCTCTATCCTTCTCTTGTGAACTCCTTGAAATCTGGCTTTAATGCCATCATTCTACCAGAACCGTACTCATCGTCATCCCTCCCAACCGCTCTAGGCCACTCCATCCTCCAAACCCTCTCCCTTTGGCTTTTCCGGCCCCTACAGCTCACTGCTCAGTCTCCGCTTACCCTCCCTCCTTTGCCCGCAATTGTGGGTAGTCAGCCTCTCCTTACCCTCCGATCTCCATTGCTCTATCGCCTCCTGTGTTCACGTCTCTCTCTGACCCTGAGGAACAGGGCCCAGAGAGTCGCTCCTGGCCCCTCTTTCCCTGCCTTTTCTCACAGGCCCCAGGCGGCTGCTGTCTGCTCACCTGTCTCTGCCACCCAGCTTCCCCTCCCATGATCCCCCTGCTCCCTCCACCCAGCTGGGACCAGGATGCAGGGCCCTACCTCTCTCCTCCTGATGTCTCTGAAACAAGCACAGAAAACCTCTGTGTTTCACTGGGGCTTTCCCACAGGCTGATCTGGCCCATCAAGGAAGTGAGCAGACATTATGAAATTATAAGGAGTCTTGGTGTGGCACTGTAGGCTAAGCACAGGACCACAAGGTCAGCGGTTCCAATTCACCAATCGCCCCTTGGAAATCCTATAGTGGATCACTATGGGTCAGAACTGACTTGACAGCACTTAACAACAACAACAGGTAAAAAAAAAAAAAAAAAAACCAGTGAAACCAGCACTTTATATCCCTGGCTTCCTGAGACACCCGTGGCGGTGACTCTGGCCTCCCTGGGATTGGACCTGCCTCCTCCTGAGCGTGTTATGAAGTACAGAGGACCTCAGGAAGGCTGCTGGCAGGACATCAGGTCTGGGGAGAACCTTGGTTCCTTCCAGAAGAACAGCATGTGAACTGTGGAGACAGTTTGCCAGGCACGTCCATATGCACGTTTCTGTGATGCCTAAGACTGCGACAATGGAAATGCCACAAATAAATTCATTTGCTTGCAGTTTAGGAAGCCAGAAACCCAGTTCCAGGGAAAGGCTTTCTCTCTGTCAGCTCCTTGTCTCCTTTCAACATCTGGAAGCCTGATGTTCTATGGGAAACTCCATGTGCCTTGGACTCAATCTTTCCCTGGGTCAATGAAAAGTTCAGTGCAGGGACCCTGGGATGCACACAATCCCAGGAGGCTCGTCTTTCTTGGGGACAGTTAAGTCCGCTTGTTCACTCATTGTTAGCTTCTGTCTTATAAGATCAAAAGTGGTGTTGGCTACACCCTATGGAAACTCCCTCTACACAGGATCAGGGCTGTGACCTGAGTAAAGGTGGTACATCCCACCTTAATCCCCTTACAACTGATTGGCTAATCACAACATCATTCCATAACTGCCAAAGCACTGAGAATCAACTGCCTGGCCCAGCTGACTGACACATATCTTGAGGGAACACAATTCAATCCATGACAATGTGATTCTCCTCTGGTCTTCACAGCTGCTCTGGAAGTGGTTATCATTACTCCATTTAAGATACATGGAAACATATTCCATGCATCTTCCTGTTCCACGGCTCCTGTCCCATGGTAATTGACATAGCTATTTGTAAATAACAAAATGACCACCGACATACTAGGGTATGAAATGAAGCATTCAATAACATTTTTAGATGATCTATGAGAACCCAAAGTTATCTTAGCTTGTGGTGGACTGCCCTGGCCTTCCTCCTTGAACCTTCTCTCTGCCAGGAAGGAGATGGTTTGCGTCAGACACACTAGTGGGCTTCCCAAAGTTCTTGGAAAAATTGAATGATAAGATAATGGAATGTTCCATGAACATTTGGAAGTCCCTCCTATTGTTGTTGTTAAGTACTGTTTAGTCGAGTTCCAACTCATAACAACTCTGTATACCGTTTCCAAGGAGCAGCTGGTGAGTTTGAACAGCCGACCCTACGGTTCAAACTGACCTTGAGGTTGGATGCTTATCCTAGGGTGCCACATTTTCCATGGATTTTTTTTGAAGTCCTTCCTATAGCCATTTGAGTTTCTTGTCCATTATTAACACCTGCCAGGTGATTCTCAAACACTAACATGGACACATATCTCCTGGAGATTCTGATTCAATTGGCCTGGGGAGGGTCCAGGAGTCTACATTTCTAACAAGCTCCCAGGCACTGCCCAGGGAACACACACTTGAGTAGCAAGACCCTATTCCTCACTACTCATTGTACTCCCACCTCCACCTCCCACCTTTCTGCATTTGGGCTGGAGCGAACCTATGCTCTCGAGTCTCCTCCTGGGTCCAGGCTTCTCCATGTGTAAAATGAGGATGATAGTGACATCCTCTGGTTGGATCTTTCTTTGGAACACAGAGTCTAAATGTGAACTGGCTGCAGCTACATGTGGAAAGGACTTAGCCCAGAACCTGGAACTGTGTACAAAACTTCACCAAAACCAGAGTTACACTGACATGTAATTACTCCATTACTAAACAGCACTATCCCGGCCCCCTACTCCCTAGGTTTAGGACGACCCGAATACTTTAAATCACAGCGTCTCCTTTCGAGAAACCCACTCCAATCCCACTCCAGTCTCTCCCCAAGACCCAGCTCAATTCCCTACATCTCCCTTGACATTCTCACCCCCATTCACTTCAGCTCATTCTGAAACCCTGCAATTAGTATTAAATTATATACAATACAGTATGAAATAGTATATAATTAAGTGCTAAGTTGTTAGCATTAACTATACATATAGCTCACTAATTATTTGGGGATTTGGAGACCTTTGGGTGAGCCCAGATTTCTTCTACTTATTTCTCTGGGCCTCAGTTTCCTGGTCTGTAAAAAGGGAGTAACAATAAATCCTACTTCACAGGCCTGTTGTAAGGATTAACTAGGATAAAAGTGAAAGTGAACTGGGATCCGTTGCTTTCTTGTTCTTGTTGACCCGCAGCCACATTATATTCCTTGGCCACAAAAACCACCAGTATTTTGGGCAGTACTGGGAAACAGAAGGAACATCATATGGGAGCTGGGAGCCCCAGGCTCCAGTCCACCTAGTGTTGTCAGGATAGTGGTTGAGGTTGAATAAGCACTTAGTATGGGGAGCTCTGGTAGCGTAGTGGTTACGAATCGGGCTGCGAACCTTAAGGTCAGCGGTTCGAAACTACCAGCTGCTCCGCGGGAGAAAGATGAGGCTTTCTACTCCCGTAAGGATTTACACCCTCGGAAACCCTGTACAGGGTCGCTATGGGTCGGACCCGACTCGACGGCACTTAACAACAACAACAACATCTATATCAGGTACTGTTCTGACCCCTAACTCAGTGCCTAACTTGAAGTTTACCCTCAGCCCCCAGACGTGACAGCAGTATCTCTGAGGTCAGCTTAGGACAAGAGGCATCCAAACAGAAGGAACGATGCATCCAAGACCCAAGGTGTGGTGAGATGGTGAACAGGTAGGAGACCCACCTTGACAAGCACATTACTTCTGCAGAGGTTTTACTTCCTCGTCTATAAAATGGAGGTTTTCAGACTTTTAAGACTTTCTGCAGAGGTGTAGAACACTGTGAATCATCTGGTTTGCCAGTCACTGTTTCCTCAATCCTTCAGTGAGTGTTCCCTGTGTGGCCTCTTTGCTGGATGCCGTCATACCCAGGTGTCCAGCAGGTTCCAGTAGCTGTACTCCACTGGGCAGTCAGCCCCACTCACGTTCGTTCCTGTAAATGGTGGGCCCTGTAGTGCAACGGCCCCAGCCAGAGGATCTCCCATTGTCCAGGGTCCCTAACCCTAATCCCAGGATGCCTAGGACAGCCAGGGATGGCCTGCAGGAGAATCTGGGAACATCACTGAACTGAACACGAATTGTGTGTGTGCACAAAAGTCTGTCTCTGGGGAGGAATCCCATAGCTTTCATCCAGATACCAAAGGTGTATGGCACCCAGAAAAGACAGAGACGATAAAATAAAACACAGACAGCAAGTGCCAAGCCAGGGTCTGAGCAAAGGGAGAGGCCATGTGTGACTGCAGAGCCAGAAAGGGCCTCTGAGGATGTGGCCCACCCAGTTCTCTCCCACCCCATGTCCAGCCTATGCGCATCTCACGAAAAAGACTGCACATCCAAAATGTGACCTCTCCTCCATGACCCTACCACCCTGGCCCAGGCCCAGGCCAAGGCCCAGGCCCCTCACTACTCTTGCCCTCTGCATGCCAACAGCAGCCAGGGGGCCCCTCTGCTCAGCCATCCTCAGCCACAAGCCACAGACCCTGGCTCACCCCTCTGACCGGCCAGCTGTGCAGACCTTCTAGCTGTTGTTCAATACACCACCTCACCCCCATCTTGGGACCCTGGATTCAGTATTCCTTCTGCTTGGAAGCCTCAGAGATACTGCCAGCTCAGTTCCAGACCACCGCAATAAAGCAAGTATTTCAATAAAGCGAGTCATATGAATTTTCTGGTTTCCGAATGCATATAAAACTGACGTTGGCACTTTACTGTAGTCTATTAAGTGTGCGGCAGCAGGATGAAAATGTTTGAAATATTGTGAGAACTATCAGAATGTGGCAGGAGACAGGATGTAAGCACACGCTGCTTGAAAAACACTGCTGATAAACTCACTTGATGCCGCGTCGCCACAAACCTTCAATTTGTAAAAAACACAACTTCTACAAAGCACAATAAAATGAAGTCTGCCTGTGGATACCCAGACAACCCGCCTCCCTCGGGACTGAGCTCAGAGCCCACCTTCTCAGCAAGGCCTTCCCTGATCAAGCAGTCTCAAACGACAAGCTGCTGGTCACTACAGTGAACACGAAGAAGAGATCAAATGGCACAGTGCGCCCATACATACACTCACTACCACTCCCAGTCTCCCCACTGGCACAGTTCCTACTGTATTACATCTTTCCTTTATTGATGGTCCCCAGCACTAGAATGAAAATTCCATGAAGATGAGCCCTCGGTTTGGTTCACCACTGTCATTTAACTAGTACACGGCCGGCTGAGTAAGTGAATGTTGGTTGAGTGGGTGAATAAATGAGAAGACATTAGAGCACGGATTTGAAAGTTGAAACATTTGTGGGCAACAGAAAAGGAAAGGGCAGTGCAGACGACAGCATCGGCATGTGCAAACCCAGCCTACTGCCACTGAGTCATTTCTGACTCATAGTGACCCTGTGTAGGGTTTCTGAGCCTGTAAATGTTTACGGGAGCACACAGCTTCATCTTTTCCCAGCGAAGCAGCTAGTGGATTTGAACTGTTGACCTTATGGTTAGCAGCTCCTGTTTATCCTACAGTGTCATCAGGGTTCCTGTATGCAAGGCTTACTGCTGCTATTGTCAGGTGCCATTGAGTCAATTATGACTCACAGTGAGTGACCCTGCATAGGGTTTCCAAGGAGCAGTTGGTTGGTGTTTATCTTACAGCATTACGCCACGACTCCATGCAAGGCTCTGTTGTTGTTATGTGCCATCAAGTCTGTATAGAGTTTCTGAGGAGCAAATGGTGGGTCTGAACCACCGGCCTTGCCATTGAAACCGACCTTGTGGTCCGGTGCTTATCCTACAGCGCCACACCAGGGCTCCATGCAAGGCTTAGAGTCACACAAAAAAGCATGAAATGTTCCTACACTTACCATAAGTCGGATGACCTGTGCTGAGGAGGTGAGTTAAATATAGTCAAGAGTCTAAGGAGTGGATGTGACGTGAAAGCAAAGTCTTCATTGTTACCACAGTCAGTCTTATCAGCTCCGTCCCTAATGCTGACTCCAGAGAAGGTGTACGAGTCTTTCAATGTTATATTATTAATTCTCTCTGAGGTGGGGAAAAAAAAAAACTGGAACTGGAAAAAAATACTACGAATCAGTTATGCTTAAGAGCGAGCACTCTACAGAGTCTACATTTCAGGGATCACAAATTCCTCTGAGGCCAGACGATCAGAATTCTCCTCAACTGGCCAATGCCTGGTCTGTATTAACGAGAAGCTAGCTTTTCAGCCTTGAGAATGTTGGGGGCCTAACCTTGCACAGTGCCAGGTCCCTGCAGAGAAGAACAATAACATACTGTGATTCACAAAGAGATCAGGAGAACTGCTGTTTCTGGGGGCAGTGCTAGTTCAGGGAGCACAACTCCTTTGTGTAACTCAATCCCCCCAGAGCTCGGCATCTTTGCTGAGGCATGCAAATGCTCCCGTTTCTATGGTTGAGTTAGCTCCTTAGGCTGCCTTAACCGACACTGCTTCTGCTCTCTGTTGATTTAATTCCCACGATAATCCTCTGTTTCAGCATCACTGTCCCATTTTATAGACGAGGAAACTGAGGCTTTGAGCAAACTGCCTGAAGCCCACAAAGCCACTAAGTGGCAATAACACCCAATCTTTCTGTTCTGGTTCCCTTTGGAAAGCCACTTCTCCTCTGCTCTGAAGCCGGGTGCTAGGGTGAAAACAACACTTCCTGTACAACTAAGGCAGACACATGATCAAGGCCTGGCCAACCAGTGTTTATCTTCCTAGATATGTGATTGGTTTAGGGCTAAAAATACATCTCAAGCCAGGCCAAAAGACTCAATTCAGGGACTGGTTGAATCTACTAGAAAAGTCCTATGTCTCTTCCCCCATTCATACTCACTGATAAGGACAGAGAACTACTGCTGCCATTGTTGCTGTATGCTGTCAACTGGGTTCTAACTCACAGCAATCCTAGATAGGGTTTCCGAGAGGGATGGGTGGGTTTGAACTGCCAACCTCCCAGTTACCAGTCCATGCCTATCCTACAGCACCACACTATAGCTACTAGCACCCCCATAAAGGAACGAGCTATTTTTTACTGCTGATTAGTTATGAGCACCCTTTCATATTCCACAGAAGCTCTGGTGGCACAGTGAATGAAGCACTCGCATGGGAACTGAACCCAGCTGCTCCATGGGAAAAAGATGTGACCGTCTGCGTCTGTAAAGATTTACAACCTTGGAAACCCTGTGCTCTGGCCTACAGGAGCGCTGTAAGTTGGAATAGACTCCAAGGCAACAGACAGGGTCTGGTTTGGGTCCTCCGCGTTTTCCATGGAGTGTGACACCTTCTGAGGGGCAGAAACATCCACGATGGAGACAGCCTGGATCCTTTCCCAGCCTCCCATGCCCAGCTGTGCCTGGAGCCAGCACCCTCTTGGACTTTTCAGTCACATGAGACGATAGAGTCCTCCTTTCACTCAGGCCAGTGTGAAGTGTGTGTGTGTGTGTGTGTGTCACACCTGAGTGGGGCGATATTCAAATCTGTCTGAACCAAAGTCTGTGCCATGGCTGAGGGTCCAGAAAAGTATTTAATAGAGGGTTAAATGATACAACAATGAACTGAATGATGGCCCTAAATTCCAATAAAACAGCCCTGCTAGCCTAATGAGTGACGAGTTGGACTCCTAACCCTAAAGGCAGCAGATTGAATCTACCAGCCACTCCACACAAGAAAGATGAGGCTTTCAGCTCTCATAAAGATTTACAGCCTCCAAGATCTAAACAGGGTTGCTATGAGTCAGAACTGACTCCACGGCACACAAACACTGCCATCACCAAGCCCCCACTAAGAGGCAATCCAAATGTATCTCATAGTACAAAACTCCTACTCATCCTTCAAAACCCACCTCATGTCACCTCCTCCTCTTTCCCAGTGATTCTGTTCTTTGTATCCCAACATTGCTGGGATCTGTTAGTTGAAAGAAAAATATATCATTTGGGGCCTATTTTTTTCCCCCAATGCATTTTCTGACGTATCAGATGTATTCCCATCCTCAAAAAGGTCACAATAAATACTCGGTATTCAAAGTGCTCACAGAGCTGATGGAAGCCAAGCAACAGACGAAACCAACAATTCATACTGCCCCCTAGAGGTGGTGTGCAACACAGTAAAATAGAATTTCTCACCCCTGGGTTAGAAGTCCCAACAAAATAACAAGTATACATAAGGCAGGAGTTCTAGTGTGGCACTATGGGGTAAAGCACTGGACCCCAAGGTACATTGGAACCATAAGGTTGGCAGTTCAAAGTTAGCAGCCATTCCTCAGAAATCCTATACAGGGTTGCTATGAGTCAGACCCGACTTAACGGCACCTAACAACAATAACAACAACAATATACACATGCCATGGACTCCTGGTGTGTCACTGTAGGATCAGTGCTGGACTACGAACCACAATGTCGGCAGTTCAAACACACCAACTGTTCCTTGGAAACCCAAACACTATGTCAGAACAGACTCCATGGCATTCAACAACAACATATGCCATATGGCTAATCAAAGGGAGAGTTTGCATTATTTTGTAAATCCTTTAAACTTAAGTTATTAGTATCTGAGGAAAGCTAACAAATGCTCCCCACCTAGATTGTCTAGTAGAGTCCAAAGAAATCAAAAGAGTCCTTATAAGGGAAGGAAAGGGAGATCTGACCCTAGAGGAGGCATGTTAGAGCAGCATGGGAAAGACTCAGAGAGCCAATGAATGTAGAAGGGGGGACCACAAGCCAAGGAATGCAGTGGCTTCTAGAAGCTGGAAACAGCAAGGGAACAGATTTCTCCCCTAGAGCCTCCAGAAAGAGAACAAATCTGCCAACACTTTCATTTTAGTCCAATAAAATGGAGTTTGTGTTTCAGATCTCCAGAGTGTGAAATGATAATAATTTATAATCACATAAACACATAAATTAGTGTTGTTTTAAGCCCCTCTGGTTGTGGTC